GTGATAGGTCGCTTATTACTGCTGGATGAGTGATATACAGTACGCGTGAAACAGGAAAATAACCAGCAGAAAAAAAATTAGGCCAAATACGATCCCCTGCCCTCCAGCGACCATGTGGGACTCCCTAGGGGATTCTCACTCTCACTGACGTGTCGTGATTGCGGTAATGGTCCAGATATCCATTGAAATTTCCCTACAACTTTTTCTAGGTATTTCTACATAGCTACAGGAGGTGAGTGCGCCTTCGGAGTCAGACCAAAAACGGATCGAATTTACGTGTGCCTTCCTTTGTATCACACATCAGCCGGGGTCCTTGGTAAGCAATCAGGCATCATTGGGATTAAAATCGCTTTTGCTGCTCCTCACCTGTGCATGATCTATCATTGCAGGAATCGGGCAGACCATCATTCATGGCGCCACATGTGTTATACGCGAGAAATTCTCTGCCACTAATTTCTGGAAAGACTGTGTCGCACACAGATGTACGGTACGTTAGAGAGGCTAAGGTCCTTCAGAGTTTGATAATAAAGTTATTACAGGTTTCACAGTATATCGGCGAACTTCTGCGTTATCTCTTGCTCACCGAGAAGTCCCCATATGAAACGAATCACTGCGTGCGACTTCTAATGGGCAACGGCTTACGGTGATCATTATCTTTAATTAAATCGCTAATGTCTGAAGATTTCGGATTAAAATGAGGTGAACATTCGGTTAAGGTAATACATATCGCGCGGCAAAAAAAGGTGTCCCCAGTTACGGCCGCGTTATCCCGTGCCCACTCTCCTCTTATTCTGTTTATTCATACAGTTGATATTGTAGCAATCAGTCGGAGCGGTGTTAGGAGGGACGGACTGAGCCCGCCTCCTTCTACCTTTTCTACCAATGGCGATCGGTTAGTCAACAATAAAAGAAGAAAACAGCCAGTGGTAAAAACATCGGGATGCACTCATTCTATGCCTCTTGACACCGCCAACTGATAGTGACGGTATTGACTGCAGGCCTTCACAATATATTTTGCAAAGAGAACCACCTCGCAGGTGGTGAAAGTTCTTGCGACGTGTAAGGGGCGCGCCGTCCAACCTAATGAAAATCTTACTGTGATTGTTTGCTGAGGCTGAGTTCGCGCAGTTGATCGCTGTTCCGATTTCCGCCCCTCAAGTCTTCCCTTTGTACCTACTAGTACTGCACCTTTCTTCCCAGGCGGAATAGTACTATTCTTGTCTTTGCCAATGACGCTCTAAATGCACTTCCTTTTTCCCAACCAATTGAAATAACTTATTAAGGCCAGCAATATGGCGGCAGTTCCAAGAACGATTCAAAATAGAGCGAATCGCTGAATTTTACGGGTCTACTGAAGGAACGTCGAATCTTGGTAGGGTCACACCATTCCTTCGAAAGTATTAACCGTATGTTTAGTTCTTTTCAGTAAATATTGACGGAAAGGAAGGCTCATGTGGATTTATGACCATTATCAAATGTTTCGCACCTGTTTACCCTATACGGTTGTTCAAAGTTAATGAGGAAACGGGAGAAGTCATTCGAGATGAACGTGGATACTGTATTCCGATACGACCAGGTAAGATCCCCTTTGCATCCCTTGGGCGCGTTCACCAATACCTTCATGACAACGCACACCAGGGAAGTTCGCCAAATTACCATGGGAACTTTGAATGGTCGCTGGGGGACGCTGCCGCAAAGTATAAACGCAGCCATATTGCTGAGATAAGTGATATAAGAATGCCGTTCCACCGCATAGTTGATACAAGCCGATTCACCCTTAGATCCTGCTGTGATGTAGGAGAAGCCCATCGCAGCTTCCTAGCACACTATCAGTACATTTGAGCTCAGTACCCTTCGATCCTCTAGAAAAAAGGTGCCGACGAAACGTGGAGGGCACCGTTACCTTTGCAGTGTACCGATTTATAGAGTATTCATACCAAACGTTAACAGGAGAGTCTGGTATGCTCGCATGTACGATTCGCAGGAATAATCCACTGTACCATTTCGAGGGTTACGTCGATGATACGGAAACTCAGAAGAAAGTTCTTCATGAACCACTGCCAGGATCTGACCCTGTCTTCCTTTCAGGTACCTCTACAATTTATACACGTGCTACTTTCCGAGTATTATAGACATCATTCGGTTCTGGACTCCTTTCTTTCAGGTGACATACTCTACTGGGACAGACTTGGTTATTTCTACTTCAAGGACCGGACAGGCGACACATTTCGGTATGTATTCGTATAATATTGATCAACCTTTAACTTGCCTTAATGTCGATTATTTTATATAGAACCACCATTGCTTGTTGGGTGGCAACCATTGCTCCTTAGACTGCGTTCATACTTTGCAGCGTCTACTAGCGATCACCACTAGCGCCCCGAGCGTCTGCCAGCCTCTTCCAGCATATGCCAGCGCTCCAGCGTCTGGCAGCATTCACTAGCGTCTCGAAGGGCTAGGGAAGTATGGATATCGATCTAGCGTCTGCCATCGTCCACAAGCCGCTAGGAGTAGGGAGTATGGGGAAGTAGAAGGGTAGCAAACACCGGCATGTGCAACCGCAGCGCACTTTGCTCAAGAATCATGCAATTTAATGTACGGGTGTAGTGTAAGAGCCGCCAGAACGACCCAAATGCTTTGCCGCCAAAGTAAGGTTATGAAATAAAAAAGTTTACATGCCAGGGAAGCAGATTTTATTTTTATACCTTTCGTTAGTAAGATCCATTTACAGAAGGTAGTCCGAGGTAAGGTATCGCGCGCGAATCAGCAGACACACTCTGTCATATGAGCAGTTCACCATACTTTGTCAGTTAGGTCATGGTAGCTTACGTCCCAATCTTTAATTGACAGCCTAGTTCCAGAAAACTCGATAATTGCGCTTTTATTCAAAGATTTACTGAATCGACTGGAATGTCACTGCCTGTCTATCATATCGATGCCGCCTTCGTTAAATTATAATTAGGTCTTATCAATCATCAGAATTTGAAATGGAACAAGCAGTTCAAAGACAGCCCACACGCTCAAGTAGTACATGGCACAGTACAGTAGTACACGTCCTTCCTTGTGCAGGTAGTTCAGCCCCCTCCCCCCCCCTCAATGCTATCTCACCATATCCGCACAAATCTACGGAAACGTCCATCGTGACGAGAACCACCTAAATCCGTCCCCTCACACAGTGCGTATTCCCAACCTAACCCCCAGTCCCAGACCCCCGCCCCACGCTAGCTACCTCTCCGGACAGCCCTCACCTGTCATTTTTGGCTGACGCGGGCATTAATCGGATCTGCATGTACTTTTTGCTAACCGCGCCCATGCCCATAAATAATTCTGCTCTCCTTCATCACATTTTATTCATTGGGAGCACATACAGTCAACTGCAACCCATCTCGTAAGGTAAAACGCGTAAAAATCACGAATGATGCAATTTCTGTGGTGCAAAAGCTCGACATGCACCAAAAGCTGCACACTGCACGTAACCCCAAATTCGGACGCCAGGTTTTTGAATTTTTCCTTTTTTCAAGTGTTTTTCGTTCGTGTCTTTGTTGTTTTTCATATTCTTTTCTTTGAAATGGATGTTGTCCACTACTGGGAAATGCCATAAAGCGATTTGTGAGCCAGGGGTTGCCCACGGACCGCAGGGCGGTGTAACTGTAAGGGAGCAATTTTGTTTGTGGTGTTCTTGAGGGCTCTTGTTGCTTTTTTCCTTCATTGAGGAATTACTTATCAGCTACTGTTTCATAATTGATCAGCAATTATCCTTGACACTTTTATCGCGGGAGTTGTCTTTAAACGACTCCAATCTTTGAGATGAGACCGTAAAGTGGATGGTATAGATCGTAGCCTCCTACGACCCAAATGATTTGTCGCCAAAGCGCTATCTCAAG